TACAATTTTTTAATTGAGAATTGACAATAAAATACGCGACGACTTGGTAACGAAAGTTTGGCAGAAGTTTTTTTAGATCCAGCTGTAGGGGGCATCCCATTGTCTGTATTCCCACCATGCATTTCAGTGGAACACTTTTTTTGTGTGGAGAACTTGTATTTCTAGTATCTTTGGTACAATATTTTAAAGATATAGCGTCTTTTGTATTATGAGAAGTGGATTGGCGAAGCGGCGACGGTTTAATTTCCCGAGGTCAGAGTTTTGATCCTTAGTGTGTATTTCACCAAGCAAAGCACTTCATCTGCATTGTTTCTCTGCACCCAAGAGTATAAGTGGGTGCCTGGCAGTGATTTTTTAGGAGTCTGACAGGGGAACAAGGTGGTGTGGGGGAGCTCGATGATGATGACATTTTAAATGGGGGACCCTAGATAAGCCAAGGTTTCAGGTAGGTTTACATGCTAATGCACCGATACTAGTGTATTGGGACCAATGACCAGGGAAAAAAGGATTTTGTTAACTGAAAGGAAGTTTCCTCTATAAAATATAACAGGTAACATGAACATGTGTTGCTCAAACCCTGTTGCTGTTGGTGGAGCAGTTGCAATTTTGCTTTCTAACCTTGAGGCCAGAGGTTCAATCACTCTGCTCGTGTCCTCAGGCAAGGCTCTTTACCTACAGTTATCTCTCTCCACCCAGGTGTACAAGTGAGTACCTGGTAGGTTCAAACACTTTAGGCACAGATCCTATAATAGGATCTGGGCTTTAAGGTTTATTTAAATTGAAAGAAAATCAAAATCCCTTAATGTAATACGACAAGATTTATTATTTGACAAGTACAACATAAGCATTTTTTTTTTGTGAAGTACATTTAACATTCAAGGTGATTCAGCCTAAACTATTTTGTGTATACAGTAGTTACCAGATAAAGCAACAATATTCCAATCATCACAAGAGAGAACACCCTTAGATGGATCAATCCATCTCTGATGGATCGCAAACCCTAAAGGTATGCATAAACATAGTTCCTTTGTTTTCCTTCAAAGCTGCATAAAAGATAGACTTGTACTAGAGAAGATTTCAATCCTTGAATGGTGAATTTTGGATCTGTACAGAACATATTCCCATTTTACACTATCAGCAGCACTCTGGAGTAAACCCGCTTTTACTCCACCATTGTCAATACACCGGAGTTGGGTGAACGTCAACGACCACAACGAAGCTTTTCCGTGATAGTCCTGTCGACGTCGGAACACACAGTGTGAACAGTCCCAACTTAAACAAACCAGCATTTTAATCATCCACTTTCATTACAATTATTCAGTTTCTTTTTGTAATATTACTATTACAAACTATTTGTATAGTTTGAATGTAGTATTTAGATAAATGCAAGTTATATTTTATTGCTTTAGATTGTATTTTTGTTTAGAAATTAATTTGATTTTTAGTGTTCAAATAAATTATGTTTTCCCCCTGCGAACTAAACTTGATTGCAAAATAATGAGCTAGTTTTCCTAAAAACTAGCTCAGCCGATTATCGTTGTAAAGTGTAAATGGGTGCGACCGGGATCATCCCGCAGTTTCTTCGTCAAGCGTAAATGGGGTTTGGCTCCAGTGTCACCGGTGTTTGTATTGGTTTGATAGTGTAAAAGTGTAATATTCTACAGATGCGGGAGCTATAATTCTCACAGTAGGGATTGCATCGGTTTGCATTAATTTTGGAGGTACCAGTAAACTAATGATTTTAATCCATCTGAATTAAGTGGGAATAAATCTGACTAAGAATGGCAAATTAGCCTTTTTTCCAATGATATACTGTATATAAAAACGAAACATTTCTTAAGTATTAATTCAACACATAATCAAGGTGTATTGTGTTAAAAATTTACAGTCAGTGTTTCTGACAATACTATTCTACTACTATTATTATAATAATAATTAAAAAACTATATCAACATAATAAACAAAGATAATGAGAATACAACATAACAACACTAATTATAATAATCATACATAACAAGAGATACAAATAACAAAAATATACTATAGAAACTGCAATTACTGTCATACTTTTATATATATTTTTAATTAATTGAACTTGCCTAAGTTGAATCCAAAATGACATAAAGGTACTGTATTCTGATAATTATGTCAATTATTTTATTATATTTCTTCTTTTCCTTCCCAGGCACTTTCGGAAGTTCTATAATGTTTTTAAAGTACTAAATTGAACAATAAAAAGAAATAGTACATTAACGAGAAGTCAATGTAGTAAAAAGTAATAAATGCCATTTTGGAATGAAAATTTTGTCATATTTTAAATTTTTGTTTCATTTTGTAATTATAAATAAAACAGTTTTATGTACAGGCTATGTCATTTCCTTGCTGTAATTTGCTAAAAAGTTTTTAAAAAACATACGAGTTTTATGGTTTGAGCATAGATCATACAGGAATTTGATCATCATTAATACATTTTTACTATCCTCATTTGGTATATTTTCATAATTCACATCCATCTATAATGTAACAAATTGATATCAAATTAAAAAAAATATGAATTATGTTAACAATTTACTCATTGTAGAAACTGAGTATAGGAGCAACACTTATTAACACTCTAACCGCCAGGAGTTTGAAAAAAATAGTATCAGCCACCGCTAGACTTCTTAGCAAATTTTAACACTTTTCCGAAGCTCGTTGAGAGTGCGTATGTGATCAGATTGACATGTAGTGAATACTACAAGAACTACAAACATTTTAGCTTTACAATGGTACCAAACACTTTATTCTAAGCACAATCTGTGACCCGTAACAGTAAAATGAAAATGACTCACTTTTTGGAGATTTATACGCAATTTTGCACAACGAAGCTGAGATAATTGCGATTTTGTGAAAGTAAATCAATACCGTTCTACGCTAATGTAACAAACAAACAGTGAAATACCAAAGATCCAGAATGAATATAGTGTTAAAAATTGTTAGTACCATGTCGGTAATTACCCCATCTATCGGATTCTGTAAAAAAAACACGCAAAAACATGTTAAAAACCTCTGTGTTTAGCGGTCAAGCGTTACGTTACCAAACACGGAGATCTCCGTTTTTGGCGGGCAAAGTGTTAATAGACCATTCAGGAATGTCAATCAATCTTAACAATCACCCAATCAGAACATGATATTCAATAGGTGGGTAAGAAATGTGTGCATGTCCTATAAACACAAGCTTACAAATGTGTGTTACCGCCGTCGTTTTGTAGGACCTTGACAACAATAACCAAATGATTGAACGGAATGGAGAAAGGTTTAAGAAAGCATTATAGGACCGTCATCATCAGACAATTGTGAAACCGACAAACAGTCCCTCAAGGTGAAACTCTACATATCTACAGTAATCATTAATACATACGGACATCATTACATTATGTGTTGATATTTGCAACTTCCCGATAAGTTCATTGCACTTATTTTTGTATAACTTCTTTCTTAAGCCGCTGAGCTAGTGCCATTCTCATTTTCATCTTCTTGTTCTCAGCTGCTTCATCACTGCTTTTCACTTGCACTTCGCCTAAAAAAAAACAAAAAACAAAAACAAAACAAAAAAAAACATTTTTAATGCTTTAAACTGTCAATAATAAAGCTGCTGTCCATCAGTTCTAGCTTCTGATCTTGGAAATGGTTATAAAAGAATTCCTTGACGCTTCTGCCTTTGTTTTTAAAAACATAAATTCACTTTCATCACTCAATCCTATTAAGCCCTGTGCAGACTATCACATTTTATTTGACAAAAACATGTGACATGCCTAAATATGGTCATGATGACATCACATAATGACCATATATAGGAACATCATGACCATATATGGGCATACAACAGTTTTTTTGTCAAAGAAAATTTGATAGTGTGGACAGAGAGTTTAGTTATCAAAATACAGGTGCCAGTTCATCATAGATCAAAGTCCTGGTTACAAATCCTGTGAGATTAAAAAATTATTTTTTCAAAACAAAAACAACTCAGAAGCCTCAATAACTTTGTTTAAAAAGCATTGTTCCATCATGAAATAGGCAAGCATGAGGAAAGTCAAAAACAAACAGAATTAAAGAACAAAAAAAAAACTGAACGCACCTGAAGTGGCATTTTTTGCAGCCATGGACGAATTTGGCCTAGTTTTGGATTCTTCTTTTTTTGAAAAGTCATTAAGTGACTTTTCTCGTTCTTTCTTCTTCATAGCCATTAAACGATCCCTTTGCTGTTTCAAGTACTCTTCTCTTTTCTTCAACTCTGCTGCTTCAGATGCTGGTGTGGTGCTCTGTATAAACACAGAATAATAATATTAAAAAAAAGACTTAGAGCATAATTATAATCTAACTTAATAATGATGATACTTTTACAAAATATATATATTAATGTTTTATTAAAAAATATGTATATTTTTAATACCATTTGTTCATGTGCATGGCCCAGGGAAAAACAGCTTTGACCGATTCTGAATCATTTCGTGTTGAAATCAACTAAATTTTTATGTTTAACACTCATAAATATCAAGAAGAAATTCTACCTTGTTTAAAAATGGAATAACCCTTATTATCAAAACTGCCTGGAGGGAATTCATATTGTATCTTTATTGTATTAGTGACTACTAGAAACAATGTGTGGACTAAAAAGTCAATTAGCTTGGCATTTCTGGAAAAGTGGGGGGGGGGGGGGGGGGGGGGGGGTTCTTTTGAACCCCCTGGCTACGGACTTGTGCTGTATGTTGATTTTAAATTCATATAGCTGCATGAATATCACACATAATGCTGGTATGCTTGTGACAAGAAGGCTAGCTCAATAAGTATTCACAGCATGAATATGCTACTGCATACTGTCCTGACTTACCGTACATTCTGACTTGGTGGAGGAGGCTGCTGCCGCTTCTGCCCTGGCACTATCAAGCCAACTGGCAGCAGCATCGCTACCACTCTTACTGGAAGGAGGAGCTTTGCCTGTAGATGCTTGAGCCTTGCTGGAAGTGGAGGGGGCTGCAACCTTCTGGCTTGACGTACCTTTCGATGGGGCTGGTGGAGATTTGTGAGATGGTGATTTCTTTTTCTTTAAATCAGAACTGGATTTCTGATGGACAAATGATATAAACATTATATATGATCAGTATTTTTTGGAATTTTGTGTATTCATACAGAATGGTTACTGAACAAATAAAATCATGTACGTACAATACCCAACCATCCCACTTATTTCAGGAGTATCCGAGCCATGTTGCACGAATCTGTACAACATCATAAAAAATATGCCCAGCACAAGGCAACAACAAATGTCAGGCTCAGAAACTCCTGAAGTTTGATTGACAGTTTACAGCCCTACTAGACCACTACACTCTTACACACTAATTCACTTATATCTTTACGGCCTTTTATATATATTAATATATATTAATGCGCATATAAATAAACAGTTTTCTTTATTATGGAAATGGACACAGACACTTAAAACATGCACACTTGCCACCTTTGTTACTAATTCCTACCTTTTGTTCACTTGGGGAAATCTTCGGAAGACCATCCAAAGAAGACTGGGATGCTACTGTTGCTTTCGCTGCCTTCATTTCATCATCATCAAGGGACATTTGCAAAACCTATTATAAACCAATTAAAAATGAGGTTCTTTATAATATGAGGCCAAGGAAAAGATTCCTTTTGCAAACCAACAGAGAGATTATTATAGCAATAATAATAAGTTTCAAGTTGACATAACACATACCATGCTAGACACCTCCACATAATGATTTAATGAAAATATGCATGTAATTATTTTTTTATGTTTAGTCACCCCACACAAGGCCAAGGGCCACTCAAGGTAAGAAGTTAGGATATTTAAGAAGACAAGATTTAATACTTCCAAGATGAAAGGTAATTGAAAATAAATCAGCTGGCAAATTATACCAAAGAGAAGCTGAACAAAAAACAATAATAACAATTATTTGTAATTATTGTCTCTTGCCAAGTAAGAATATAAAACACACTCTATGTGAGGCAGTAGCATTCTCCAGAGGTTAGAAGCATTAGTTGCAACAAACACCCATATTGCTGAGGTCCCAGCATTGTCCTTCTTTTGGTAGATCTGAATTAGTCAGTGTGCATTATTGTAAAATAATTTGGAATATTCCGTTTTTATATAGACCTCTAAGGAGAGACCTTTTGTATGCCTTGTTTTAATGATTGTCAGAGGACGGAAAAAAATTAAAACAAAATTTTGCTTTCTCATTTAGCAAATAGTTTTGCAAAAAAAATCCAGATTCGTACTGCGTCGTACGATGCTGTCTGAGTTGGCCTTAAGATTGATCAAAACCTTTAAAAACAGGAAGGAAACTCATGCTACACTATAAAGCCCCCTTACTATCAAATATTATTTGACAAAACGTGTGACAAATATGGTCATGATGACATCACATAATGAACAGATTTTTGTCAAACAAAATTAATAGTCTAGATAGGGCTAATGAAAAGGTAGAGAAAAATATGAAAAATCAGATAATAAACAAGAAATTTATTTTATTAATTTTTTAATTATTATTTTATTATCTAATTTTTCATACAATCTATTTAAGTATGTGAAAAATTAGATAATTAATTACAATTTAATAATTAGAATTCCCAATTCAGTACATGCAAGATGGATTATAAAGTTTAGAAAAATAGAGAAGTGGATTCATAACAAATTAAGCTTCTTTTATTGATACCCCTACCTAAGACATGCTCATGCATTGATTAAATGCATGCTTTTAATATGAAGGTGTCTACCTTTTCTACAGCAAGTAAATCCATTTGTTCAATGTGTTCAAATGTTCTCTGCCTTAGCAGCTCTTGTACTTTGCTTTCCTCTGTTACCTTGTGAATAGCAATGATCATTAAAATAAGCTGTGAAACTCGACTAGCACCCCACCCAGATTTATCACACATATTTTTCACATAATACTTGAGTGCACCGAGATTGAGAGTGGTACATATTTTTTCTTCCTCACTAAATCATAATAAAAAACAGGCTCTAAGCCGGTGCATTTGTCTACTGCTTGAAATTTTTTTATTTGTCTCATAACCTATCTATGCTTTCTGTGTTTGCAATTAACTTGAATAAATGTACAACATATTGTTGACTTCTTAGTTCTTTCTAGGACATGTCTTATCTACTATAAGCATGGCATTGTATTTTGTAGGGTTTTTTTCCTATAGATTATGATGCATCCCATCATTCTTCCAACAGGATTTACTCTCACAACTTACAAGTGAGATGATAGCTAAGTGTCTATAGCCCTCCCCCACTCCTCAGGCAAATGACACAAAAACAATACACAAATTTTCATTAGGAAAGAGTTAGGGGAAAATACCACAGTGCTCACGACAGTATTACCACAGTGCTCATGACAGTATTACCACAGTGTTCACCGCAGAGTTACCACTGACATTACTACAAACAATGCTCATGTTACAGATTCTGGATCCAACATGATTCGAACACTCTTTTTCCTCACCTTTTTCATGATATCTTCTTCCTTTTTCTTCTCCTTTTGCAGTCGTTCTGCTTCAGCTTTACTTGTTGCTAACACATTCTCTAAAGTACTATCAATGGCACCTGCCTTGCTGGCCTGTTGTTGTTTGTACTCATCTTCAGACTGCCTATTAGTAATTTAAAATATCAATTAATTAATCAAATAATCAACCAATCAAAATTTAATGATAACTATTTAATTCACCTACAAAATAAAAATAAAAAAATTAAAAAAATGTTTACTTCATAATTTTCCTCATAAGCTCTTCATCATCGTCAAAGATCCTCGCTTGATGTAAGTCGGCCGAGGTGTCTTGATCCGGACAAAGCGCTGCTGGAATGACACCATTACATTTCTGAATCAGTCTCAGGGCCTGCAGCTCCAGCTCAATGTTTTTTTGTACCATCAGGGTCTTAAACACGGGAAAACTTTGAGCCGCCATCACTTGTTCAAACAGAGGCTAAATGAATGAAAAGTAGTAATAATAAAGTTAAAGAATATACTGTGAATGATGTAAAAATTGCAGGCTCTCCAATTGCACCACTCTGAAATAAGCACTACATCTAACATGAACTATTTCTGTAAGTGCCGCTCTTAGTAAGTGCTGCTGTGCTTATTAAAGATATATTTGGTTTTGAATAAAGGGTGCGACACTTAATCGAGAACACATGTTACGCCTTTTCATACTGAGAAACTATTACATATTCCACAAAATTATTAATACAATTGTTGCAACAAGTCAAATATATAGGGCACATGGTACCGGTATTGGTACCATAGGGCACATGGTACCGGTATTGGTACCATTGTGCAATAAGCATCGCTCTCACATATTACGTGCTTCTGTCGAACAATTACTGTACTGAACCCTCAGATAAATTTGACAAGCCCCACTGCTGTCTTTATTGTGACTCACCAAATTGGCCTCTGACGTACCAGGATCCTGAGCATTTTTACAAGCTTCCACAAAAGAAGCTGCATCAATTTGAAGATCTTCAATGAAACTCTCCAACAGGTATTCAACCTAACGACATTGATACTGTCTCTTATACACATCTAGATGTGTATAAGAGACAGCCCCTACCTAAGACATGCTCATGCATTGATTAAATGCATGCTTTTAATATGAAGGTGTCTACCTATTTCTTTAAGTTAGGAAAGGTCACAAACAATGATTCTCAATTCATCTCAATACTGTGAAGTCGTGTCTTTATGAGTTAAACCTTTCCTCAGCATAATGGAAATCAATGCAAAAACAATGTTTTCAATAACTTTATTTTAATTATAATAATGTGTAATAATTATCTGGATATTAAACATTGAATGGGTAATAAAATAGTAAATTATATTTACTACTTATTCATACAAAGATTAAAATACCTACCAGCTCTTTGTACCTATTATGTATTTCAGTATATTCTAGTTTGTTCTCTTCTGATGGGTCAAACACTGCAAATAAATAAATAGAAGTTGAAATCATTATACAGTAATATCATATTGGACTATGTCACTGCTTGAAAGCAAACTTCAACCACATTAAGTAAGAGCAAATAGAAAAATGCATTAGATTATCACTCCAGCCCATATCAAAAACTTTAGAAATATTGATGCGGGAATAATTTTATTTTGAAAAATTTTTTTATTAATTTTTTTTTCGAATAATTTATTTTAACTGCATAAAAACAACTTTGCAAAAAACAAATGCTCACAGAGTATAAAGGAACTGGCTCAAATTTAGCCGATTTCAAACTCTTCCAATTGATTAGATCAGACATTGGGATCGCCGTAAAGTTGAAAATGCAAAGCCCATTCTTTAAACTTGTTTACTGTCGCTAAAAATAAACAGCTTGCTAGCTGCTGTTAAAAATAGACAACACCGCAGTCCGTCCCAAAAGAGACCCGCCCAGTAGGCTGATCAGATCGTTAATTCACAGCGTGTAGATGCCCATATTCCACAGAGACTCTCGCTGCTAAAAATAACTCGTATAATGCATTACAAGTTGGCAGTTTTGCTTGTGATTGGAGTGTTTGGTTGAATTGGCTGTTGTTGGGCAAAAACTAACCTACGACATCAAGAAAGTTTAGGCAAAGGCTGGCCTAGCTCGAGGTAAAGACAAAGCCTAGGCGCATGTGCCTACTATATAATTATAATTAAGGTGTGTTCCCTTCACTTTGATGCTTGAGTAATATCTGATTTTTTCACCAGAATATAGGCCTAGTTTTGGATAGGCCATTGAATCATAGGGCAGTTATTTATTTTTGGTGAGGTCGAATGGCCGAGCGGTTAGCAGGGACGCCGCAAGCTATAGCCATAATATCGGCGCTGGTTCGAACGGCACGCTTGCCTATGGTTCTGGTGGTAGAACAAGTCTTCTCGGATAAGGACTATATAAACCGTAGGCCCAGTGTATACAATGGCTCGTGTGCACTATAAAGAACCCAGTACATCCTTCGAGACGAGTAGGGGGTTACCCCTGTGTACTGGAACAGACATCCCCTGTGGTGGACGACGAGAGTTGCTGGTACCGGGTTACCGGGTAGCACAGACACGAAGGGACCCTTAGGGGCGAAGAAAGTCATTGGTCGAGTTCCTAGTCCACATTTCAAGCGCCCTGAGCATCTTACATTAGATGGATGTGCGCTATATAAAACTACACTATTATTATTATTATTATTATTAAATGCATCTGCCACATACACACAGAAATCCCCAGGTATAATCCCACCTTCCCACCCCACTCCAAAAAAAAAAAAAAAAATTAAGAAAAAGTGATACTAATAATTTGTTTCTATCTATGTGCCCTAACAATCGATAACATTTAGTATTTCAAAAAATGCATCGATTCATTAACTCATTTAAACATGTAGGCCTAGGCTGCACAACTGGAATGTTTTTAGTTTATTTTATTTACAGTTTAATATTACACCCTTGTAATAAATTGGAGGTAGACATGCACAGGACCATTACTGAATAATAATACACCTCTGAGACAATAAGTTTAGGCGCATGCTCAGACTACGAAGAGCCTATTTTTTACACTGTCATCAGCATAGGCCTCTAAGCTGAACTGAGAACAAAGTTTATCATACCATAGCAACAGTGCAAAGATACTAAACGCTAATATAAATGCATATTCATTTACTACAACATACCTAGACATTTCTCCTCGATAAACGTCATAATAGGAACAGTCCATACCGGACTATTCAGGAATCCTACAATTGTATCAGGAATCCAATCTTCCGACGCCATTGTTTATCTGGAACTAAGAAACCTTGTGGCTGGATTGAAAAAGCAAAACGGCTGTAGATAAAAATTCATCCAATAATTTTCCTATGTTTTATAAATTCATAAGTCTAATTTATAGAAATATTTTTACATTTGATTTAGTAATAAATGTATTGTAATTTAAATACAATTAATCTAATATTATAATATTATAAAAATAGCCCTGTGGTTCAAAGTGAACTTTTCAACCAACACTGGGTATTTACCTATATTGTGAAGACTGAAGAGAAACCGTGAAAAACGTGAGGTGTGGAACAGGCCATATATCGGTATGGAGCAGGTGTGCCCTCGCTGTAAAACAACGAAATATTTAAACCCATCATTGAAATTGATGGTAAATGTGTGCGGACATTCTTTGTGAGTTTTTAGGTAGTTGTGTATAATTAGTTTAATATAAACGGTTCAAAATAGCACCAGGCTAGCTAGGCCCCGGCAACACTGACCAGCCTCTAGTAGGCCTAGTAGTAGTAGATAGGCCTAGTAGTAGTAGAGCCTCTAGGCCTAGCTGGGTAGCGTAGGTAGGCCTAGCCCTACCAACCACCAGGAAAAGGACTGGACAGCAGCACAGGTAAGGTACGGTCCCGGGTCACAGGATAGCCCTGAAGCTAAAAATCGGCGCTAATGAAATATAATCCCGTGTCGGACAGCTTATCACAGGTGGTGCCAGAAATTTGCCTACAAACAAGGTGTCCGACGTATGGTTTAAATAAAGTGTGCTTTTTTCACACCACAATATGAGGGATTGGTAGTCAACGTTATTGGAATAGGAATATTATTATTATTTTTTTTTATTTTGATGGTCAACGTAGTCATGCATCGGACGACAAGGGTCCAGGCCTGTCTGACGGGGAATGCCCTGCCCCCCCCCCACCTCTGGCGCCACCAGTGCAGCTTATTCCCCTGAAGTGTGCTAGACCACTGGTCTGATTGTCCTAGTGTTTGATTGTTTTGAATTTTCATTTACTTTACTTTCTATAGTATTGAATTGGTATTTTTTAAGATCATAATTTCTCTTTAGTTTTCAACAAGTTGCATGCAAAAATGTTTTTTAATGCCATATCAGTGCAGTAACATAATTAATATTGCAGATGTGAAAATTGCGTGTCATTACTGTTCGCCCGTCAATCTGGAGTATGCCCTCAATGCAACACCGCACTCAGGAGAAATCAATTTCGACTCCAGCAGTTTGAAGATTCAGCAATCGAGAAAGATGTAGACATCAGGAAAAGAATTCTAAAGGAGTACGTTTAATAAAACAGTTCTTTAATTGTATTACCGTATGGGCCTATCTGTTGCCATTTACATGATTAACATGCCTTTTACATGATTAAAGTACATTCTAATGGTTCTTTCAATTTATTTGTGCTATAACAAACAAATGTACATATTTGTGCAAAGCCTATAAGGCTGTGTTCCCATTAAGTTTTATTGTATGTGATAAACTTGTGTGATTTTATAAATATATTTTTCACATAAAACATGATAGTGTGGACAGACTTGTTTGTGACAGATTTATGTGATTATCTCATATTGCCACATCATGATATAATTAACACACAAATGAGGAAATCACAGGTATATTTTTTACATAAATTGTAATAGTGTGGGCAGAGCTTTCTAATTGCCATCATACAGTGGATCCGATTTAACACTAGTCACCTAGCTCAAGCTCAGTGGTCTAGTGGTTATGACACCAGGCTAGTTATCTGAAGGTCATGGTTCGATTCCCACCCGAATCACTTGCAAATTTTTTTTTGAAGTATTTGTCAACGTAAAATATCACTCCTACAGTATGATTGGCCTACAGCGGATACTTATTAACAGAATAGACATAAGACCAAATTAAATAAATAACATGTTTTTCATCCCAAAAAAGATGAAGATGAGGCCACATTTTTTTAAACAAAGAAGGCTACAAGTTAGACACATGTGAGAGCCACATACCCTTAGCATACTCATTGCTTAATTGTTTAAAAAGATGAATGAAAAACCTGTAGAATTTTCTAAAAGACTTGTGAAAGTAAAAAACAGGATGTCCAAAGAAACATTTTATTTGTAATTATTGCATTTTAAATAATGTGTTTATTATTATTTATGTCTTTAAATTTTATCCTAGTTTCAACAAGCAAGAAGATGACTTTGAGGATCTTAGACTATATAATGATTATTTAGAAATGGTTGAAACTATTAGTAAGTATCATACTCATTGAATAATTGTGAATCAAACAAATATTGTATCACCTTCTGTCAAGAGGGGACAGCAGATAGATTTCTAAGGAGGTCATATAAGAGTGTAACATCACAGCAAAAGCAAATAACGGATTGCAAACTCAAGATGTTTACAATTTCAACAGCCATAATAGGATTATTCAGCCTTATTGACTTCTTGTTTAAGGTGGGTTTTGCGGTGTCAGCAGTGTAGTACTTGTACACAATGCTGTAATGAGTTATTTATAGACATTAAAGATAGTTGATTGATTGATTCCGTTAGTGGCGCTGTCGTTTTATTTCCCACACGCTTATAAATGCTCTTGAGTGTGAAGCATACGGATCAGATTTTATATTTTGGGGTTCAAGTAATAACAGCAGAGGTCCCAAGTTAAAAGAAGTCACTTCTGGGAGATATGGTTAAATGAGCTTTCTTAACGCATCTAAATTTATTTTCTATCTATCGCCACTGGCTTTCGTGAGACAATTGGTAAAAGTAGTAAAAACATTCAAATATTATAAATTTGCAAAAAGATGGGTTATTTTTTGTGAAATTCTTGCTTGCTTTCGGGAGTGCGGGAGGCTGTCCTGATATCGTGGAGACTCCTGCAACTTGCTGGAGACCTGGGACCCCTGTAACATAAGTGTCTGAGGCTGTCTACTTGCTTATTTCCTTCGTCAAGACACTTTATTCACACTGTCTCTCAAATATAAGTTGGTACAATTTACATTCAAAATGCCCAAGTGTTGACATCCACCTGAAACATTATGAATTATAAAAGTTATATTGTGTGTGTTTTGAGGTGTTTAATCTAATGACTATTATAGTAATATGAAGTGAATAGATGCCTTACGTATTTAGTAGATCCAAGAACTTAAAATAAAGGGGCCCCGCGGAGAGGGGTGGGGGGCAGGGGCATATGTTCCCCCACCAAATAGGTCAAGGGGCCCCCCTCCATATCCTAGAGCCACCCATTAGCCCTGTTGGGGCTGATGGGTATATATTTTTTTTGTATATGGTATATCTGGATTGCCAGAAAGACACACTCAGACATTTATTTTTATTTTTCAAAAATTTAGGGGGCAAGGGAAGCTACCTATGTTTTTTTTTATTGAAGACTAATATATTAGATATCAAATCATGAGAGGGTGCTATAGTGGTTAAGTAACACTATGTTTAATGAGGATATGATCTTCTAGACATACTCACAGATGCCGGCTTCCCAGGTGCTAGCTTCTCACATGGCCAAGATGAAGAATGAACAGTCAGCTGTACCTGTCAAAAGGCCTGTCACACAGTTCTCATCAGGGACTAAATTGGTAAGACTTGGTGCTATGGGAAGGTAGAAATGGGTTTCAGTAGTGGAGAGAAGGTGTAGTAACCTATGTGTGGAGATTTGCTGTAGCATAGGTTGTAGCTATTAGAGGGATGTATGTGTGTAATAAGGTATGCTGTGGAATCGAGTAATTGTAGAGAATGATGTAGCATTACTGAATATTAAATTACTTATATAGCACTCTACACAGTAAGAGAAAGTACCAAATTGCTTTCAACTATAATTAACCTCTTATTATTGGATCCAAAAATTTGCAAATAGCAGCAGAGAAGTTTAATTTTAAGTAAATCAACAACCAATTTATCAGTAATGCTTTTGATATTTTCTAATTGTAGGGTGGAGGCTTCCAAAGTAATTTCATGCCAGTGCCTCAAACCAAAGATCCTCTTTATGTTTATGAATATCATGAGGTAGATTATCTTGGACCAGTACCGCCAAACCCTGAGGAACTAGAAACTGAAGGGTAAGTTGGATTTTATTTGCTTGTAATTTTCCAAAAAATAAAATGTTTTAGTAGAAGTAATAAACCATTCCGGAGTGTCAATAAACCTAAAAAACTGACCAATCAGAACAGTTTTAACACTTTGAGACCCTTATCAACAGTATCCAAGGGTTGGCGCTTAGCTGAAAGGTCTATAGTAAATTTAGAAGTCTCTTATTTATTGTAGTAGTGCCTCATAATATGTGTGTTGAATTAACATACTCCACTTGTTTATTTGGCATATCTAAAGATATCTCAATTTGCTTAATTTAATGCACTTAAAGCCAGGAACACATTCAGGCAACAGTAGTCGGCCGACATGATTCCAGAGAGTATGCAGCAGAGCTATGCAAAAGCATTCGCTGCTCAGACTACCATTTGCTCTCACAGCCATTGACAGCGTTGTGTTGTCAAGCGCTCACAGAGACCGGAGGTGGATTCTTCGGTCGACAGTCATAGCAAAGTGTATAGAACTACAAGAGGTCCAAATCTTGTGGTTTCGTTGGAATGTAATCCTATTTAAAAAAGTACCGTCACAAATGGGCGTGTCCTTAAAAGACGAGTTTCAAGTGAACTCTATTTAAATTCTAAAGGGCGCCCCCTATCTCATCGCAGTACAAAATTAGGGCAGTCAGACCTCTTGCCATTCTTTACTCTTTGGTCATAGAACCATCATCCTGCTTTAGCTTATTTAGAAAATCTGCAAAAATAGGGGGTTAGGGTGCATAATGATATGCAACAATGGGGTTTTCTTCCAAATATTAGATTTAATGACTTTAATCATTAAAAATTTCTCTAATTTTCTTTGAGGAAAAATAAATCTATATATATTTTTTTATTGTAGGTTTATGGAGCATGTTCGTTCAGCAACTCCAACCAGTTTAGCAGGTGGCTACACGCATCGATTAGCCTGCCAGAGAGCTCTACAGGATGCTTTCAGCGGACTCTTCTTCTTCCCCGCAAAGGTCACAGAAACAATGGATGTCAGCTGATGTTAGTTTGGCTTTCTGAACATTTACCTGTTGTGAACATATAAAACTGTAGACTAAATCACTGACAATAATACGCCCTCTATCAACCATTCAGGGAACACTTTGTGTTTACCTTCAGTTGTGTTCACCTTCATTATTGGAACCATTAAATACATTCAAGTTTCAGACTAATTGGGTTTGTTACATTACTTTATGATTCAACTTTTAATTTTAGGATTTGTGGTCCGAAAAATAAGAATTGTGATTTGGTTTTCAAGAGAAGGTGGTTTTGATGAAATTTGGCAGAAAACATTTGAGGTAGGAAAATTATGATGTTTTGAATTGGTTATTGTGACTTGGTGGTCAGTTTGCTGTTATTCAAATGATAGTGTAGTGTCTTGATTTTCGGGCCAACCAGATGAATGTAAAAAAATGGAAGCAATCAAGCTGCAATAGTTTTAAAGTGCGAGAAAAGTATCCATCATTGCACACCACCCAAGAGATTGTGTCCGATGGTGAAGGTTTCAAGAGCTAACTGCTACAGCATCTCTTTACAACTACTATCACTTGACTGGAAAAGATCTCAGAACTTATTTCGAGTGTGTCACCCATAAAGCGTGAGAAGTTAGCATGAGATGGACAACTATGTAAACAGAATTGCAGACTGTTTCATTCTGTTGACCTGGAGAGCTTTGGAGGCCTGCAACATTTTGTACTACACATATTGAATGAAAAATATAATAAGATGATTGCATAATAATTTGATTTTGGCTACAATCAAACATAATAGTGAATGAATAAATTCAAAGATTTTTGTCTGTTGTTAGATAATATAGATAGAAATAATCATGAAACAGTTGGCTCTAATAGAAATTGTGAAGGGCTCACTTCGCTCAAATCTTGCAGATCTGAATGATTATTGATTTTGATTCAAAAATCAATTCAAGATAAGATAAGATACACTTTATGGTAATTATACACAACCAGTAGTGTACATAAACATCATTTACGTTGATGCAAAAATTATTACACACATGATATTAAAATATATTATATTAGTCGCAAAGAAGTTATCACACAAATTTACGCAAATGAAAGAAATTAACACACACTATATAACCTAATTATTTAACCAAAAAATTTCCTACTTGTGTTTGTATTGCATACTCTTTATGTTGTCACTGGTGTATTCAATTGTTCGATACCACGATAACTAAAATTTGGCAAGACTGATTGGTTTCAAACTCCTACTCATTAATTCTCAGAGAAATATCACACTATGCTATGCTTTTACTGCACAGCGTAAAAGAAGTATTTCTAGTTATTTAACAATTTCTATCTTATTAGCGCTTCCAATTTTTTTTTTTTTTTTTTTTTTTGTGAAACAGCTCTCAAGTATCTTAGAATGTTTATTTATTACAAAAGAAAAAATTAACACCCAGGCGCTATTAGAAGTCAAGACTTTCAGTTCCTTACTCGAGAACATGTGTTGCAGTGTTGCCAAATAGTAATTTTGTAAGAACACAAATGTATGTTCGGCCACACCCTTTCATTAATTATAAACACACATATCGTTGAAATGTAGGCTATAACAGGCCTATTTCTGTCGCCGCCTAACGGCATACTGTAATTTCCATAGAGGTCACACGAATCATATGAACTGCGTTCAATAAAAACAAAATAGTATCCATAGACCTATCGCAAGTAATGAATTAATCGTAAAGAAAATTCAATACTTAACAAAACAACGGAACATCATCTCGTTATCAGTCAAAATATTGTCTACTTGTTTTGCCTAATTAGTGTTCCGTCCTCACAAAAGCCCTCGTCATTAGCCTTGGATATTTCGACTTTATAGGCCGCGGCTTGAATGTTTATCAATATTTCCGCACGTCGACGATGTTATACCCCTTATTTTGAAGCTAGATAATAGCCCTAAGCCACATTACTAGCATACCTATGTTACAGATCTGACTTATAATATTGATGCCTACTTATATTTTTACTCGGAGTAATTTTATTCGTTGGGGTACGGCTTATTTGTATACTTAGGCCATGTCTTGTGTTTTCTGAAGTGGGTGAAAACAAAGGCCAAGTCAGCGAGTGACAAACATAACGAATGTAGACTATGGGATTATAGAGAGATGTTTTTTAAAGGATTTTGTTCAATGTCAATACATATCGATACACTGCATACCACCCTCAGGCGGTTCTCTGTTGCTTTTGGCGTAAACAAGATGTTGGGGATTTTTAGTCGCTACAACTAACACAGCAAGGGGCGCCTCAGCATTAACTCTTCCCCTCCTGCCTTCGAGAAGAAGTGCCTCCAGCCATTGAAAAATGTCCTATTTTATCATATAAATATAATATTCTTGTACATAAAGAATATTGATTGAAAAGCAATGTTTTTCATGTGAACTTTTAATTGAAATCTAAGGTAAAGCAATTCTAATAGTGAATTTAATTTTTTCAAGGTTTTTTTTTTTGCTCATAACAGACAGTATTGTATGCCTCGATGACTAGCCGATGAAAGTCTCTGCAAAGAATTTCACTTAAAATCTAATAGGCCTAACTTCCGTAGATATAAAAAAATATCAAGCAATTTTATATTGAATTGTATTTTCCAAAATCATTAAATAATGTTGTCACTTAGCACTATTTTTATAGTCACGCAAAGGTTCGTCTAAATGTAGCCCTTGGTTTTCGTATATACGGTACGGTACTTGGTTTAGTTAGCAAAGCTTGAAGTTAAATTACTGTACATTTTCCTTGCATTCCAATCGAAACAATTTTGCTTGGCACCGTGTAATGTTACTGTAATGCCTTGCGTTCTCCAAAAGAAGAAATAACAAATTTTATTCCAACTTTAGTCAAGTCCGTTCGTAAATATCCCTAGCCTATTTTAATGGATTTTGTTTCTAAAGTAAAGGTAGAAGCTACCCAAGAGGCAAAAAGTATGAAGCGAAAAATATGTTAGGCCTAATAATTGTAAAACAAGCGACAAGCATTTTGCCTGACCAGAGCTGAAACAAAAATTTTCATAATAAATTGAAATTAAATGATAATTATTTAAACAATTATAAAAATATAATAGGTCTATGGCGATATCTAAGCTTTTATAGCATAGGTAAGGGCAGATCAATATACCTCGTGATCGAGTTTATATTTTAAATAACATCAGCACACAAATTTGTGGTTGACGGTGTTAGTAAGTGGCGCCCGGCTTCCATTCTTGCGGTCGTCTGTTCAATTCCTGCTATTATTAGGACTTCCTCTTAATGAACTACCATTGGCCTAATCCCCTATATCTCGACCTTTTTATATGTACATGCGTACTAACTTCTATAATAAACCACAGAAATTTCCATCAAATTGGCAAAAATTAAAATCCATAAATTAATTATAAATAAATTGATCATATGGATATCTTCACGTAACATTTAGCCTAATTATCGATTTCGAGACACTCCGTTTAAAGCTGATTGCGTGTGCATGCATTGTTTTAAGTAAAATGCCCATTGACGAATAACAGACTTCGTGAGTCGAGTCAATGAATTTGTTGATGTAAATTGTGCATTGAGTTTTGTAATCCGTTGATATATGGAATAACGTAAAGAATGAGGTATTTGTTCTCGGGAACGGTGTGGGGTAGCTCATCTTTTACTTTATTTGTGAAGATTAACGTTGAAATTGGTTCTCAACTTCTCAACAATGTTCAGTACTTATCGCGCCTTGTTCTATGCCAGTACACGACACAAAGCTCCTCCAGCAACGATACACCAATCAATGGACGCTAACAACATCTCTAATTAAGTGTTGTTTGTACAGGATAATTAGAAACGAAAATACAAGCAAATAACGCTATAAAGTCTTTGATGTTACAAAACAAAGCTTGTTACCGAGTCTCGATTTTGGTGTTTTTCACTCAAATTCATAGGTCCCTCGGATCTGGCACAGGCCCTAATGGCAAACGACATGCGAGTCGTTTAGTTAGCGGATACCGATATATACCTAGGCCTATATGAATAGGACTTATTACGTATTATATTATAGTATATATATAGGCATATATATATAAATATATAAATACAGTATATATATATATGCCTATTAACGTATATATATATATATATTATATATATTATATATATAGGCCTATGCATGGGATATAGG